CATCAACAATGAATGAGAATTCTTGTTGCTCCACATCCTTTCCATTCAATTGGTATTGTTAACTTTTTGAATTTTAGCCATATTTATGTATGTGTTGTGGTATCTCGTTATAATTTGTGACAGCATTTTTAAAATTCCTATGCCCTCAACATTAAGCATAGTAGTAATAAGCGCTTCATTATTTATTACTTATTTCTGTTGAAAGAATGAGTGGGTAAAATAATGTTGCTGAATTACCAAATGACTTAAATAGTCATTAGATTTCTCCTCTTTGAGAATGATACTTCTAGGCCCTGACAACATGTAACCCTCGCACAGGAATCAATTGTGTTTACATTTTTAGGGGCTTTTCAATCACAATGAATGCTTTGAGCCCTCCTGTTAATCAGCATCTCAAACATCCAAAAACTCCCATTTCACAAACATCCAGGTTGATCAGTATTTTACTGTTTCTCTTTTTTTTTCTTTTTTTTGAGGGAGGGGGAGAGAAAGAAACATAGATTTGTTGGTCCACTTATTTATGCATTCATTGATTGATTCGTGTATATGCCCAAACTGGGGATCAAGCCTGTAATCATGGCATATCGGGATGAAGCTCTAACCAACTGAGCTACCCAGCCAGGGCTTTATGTTTCTTTAAGATCAGAATTAAAGATCAAAGCCTATCCTCTGGTCCTCCTATGTTCAGACCTGTCCAGGTGTGGTTGATGGTTCTTAGAGAGGCTGAGACAGAATATGCTAAGTTATGGAATAAAACAGAAATAATCAGCAGTTCCAGCCTTAGACCCAAGTTCTAGAGCAGAATTCCACAGCTGGCATATGGGTCAATGGGCTGCAAGAGGTGAGACCTTGAGCCCCCCCTCGGCCTTCAGGGTGGATAAAAGCTGAGTTGAAGGCCTTGGACCAGTTGCACCATGTGCCATAGAATTATCCTTTTCCATGTGTGCCATGACATGAGAGAGCCTGGGGAGTACTGCCCTGAGTCCAGGGAGCTCAGAGCTAGGTTTTTTTATTGCTCTAGTTTTTCCTTCAATCTCTGTAGTATGTGTGTGTGTGTGTGGGGGGGGGGGGGGGGGGGGAAGGGGAAAATACATATAAAATTTACATCTTAACTGCACAGGTCATTGGGATTGAATACATTCAAATCATTTTGCTACCATTTTCACCATGAATCCCATAACTCTTTTCATCTTATAAAACGGAAACTATACCTATTAAACAGTAACTCCTATTCCTCCTCCCCCAGTCCCTGGCAACCACATTTTACTTTCTGTCTCTGTGATTTTCATTATTCAGGAAACCTCATATAAAAGGAATAGAATATTTGTCTTTCTATGACTGGCCTGTTTCACTTAATATAATGTCTTCAAGGTTCATCCATGTTTTAGCATGTGTTAGAATAATATTCCATTGTATGGCTAAACCATATTTTGCTTATTCATTCAGTATGCTCACCTCAGTCCTGTGTCCACCTTGTTTTTCTTTTGCCTGAGTTTCCTTATGCATTTCTTCAGACAAGGTTGTTAGAAGCCTGAAGAGAAATAGTTCAGGTCTGAATCCTGGATCCTTGTTTTACTGATTATGAGACCTTCATAGAAAATTACTTAACTTCTCTGAGCTTTATTCCTCATCTGTAAAATGGATATGTGGTAGGTATTTAGAGTTAAACAAGACAGTAAAGAATTGGCACAGTGCCTGGAACATAATAGATGTTCAACAAATATTATTAAAACATGCTCACCATTTGTACTTCTGAAATTTCTCATTCTTTTTGGCATGAGGTTGAGGAGGAGGAGGAATATCCTAAATTTATTAAATTAAATCTTAGAGATGATTTAACCCATTGCCGTGAGTATTTTTAAGTGTCTCGTCCTAGGGTGTGAAAGTGATTTTTAGACTATACTGTGCCTGGGCACCCCAAGGTTTCCTGCCTTGAAGCTCTTTGGCCCTGTGATGAAAGCAGGAGCAAATCTCTGGGTGCCTGTGGGCGCTGGAATTCCTGCACCTCTGCAGGGAGGAGGCCCATTGATGGGCCTGGGTGAGCCCACAGTGCCTGCAAGTGGCCACCTGGGCTGGACTGAGCTGGAGGACTGGTGCTGCCTCTGAGGGCTCTGTCTCTGCCTTGTTCTGGCTTTTACCCACTCCTCTGCTCCCAAAAAGAGGGAGGAGGAGTTGGGAACATGTTGTCTTTGTGCTCTGCTTTTGGCCAGCTCAGTGGCACTGTGGGTGCTGGCAGTCATGCCAGGGAAAACACTGGAATTCAGAACTGCACATGGAGTGTCAAGAGAAGGTTTCTAAGTCTGTGGGAAGAGCCAGGAAGCTGACATATTTGTGTGGGCAGAGCCCTTTGCTACACAGTTTTTTAAAATCCCTTTGCTCCTGGCCAGTGTGGTTGACTATCCTCCCAGCACCAAAGATCGCAGGTTCAGTTACTAGTCAGGGCACATGCCATGGTTTCAGGCTCCATCTCCTGTAGAGGGCATGCAGGAGGCAGCCAATTGATGTTTCTCTCCCTCTCCCTCTCTCCCCCTTCCCTCCCCCCTCCCTTCTCTCTCTCTAAAATCAATTTTAAAAAAAAAACATATTTTAAAACAACCCTCCAATCACTTTAGGGAAGAAAAGAAAAAGAAAATCCTTTTGCAGACTGCAGTGTGAGAGCTTGAGACATCAACAGCAGTATTGTCAGTATTAAATGCTAAATGTTAAAGGGCTGGTTGGGGACGTTGCCCTGGCAAAGTGGTGGTGAGGACCATATAAAAACAGTGAAGCTTGATGTATGGGGCATCAGGCGCTGTGTATGCTGCTGGATCTTTTTAATAACGATGAGATCTACCCACCAGCGGTGGTAGATCAGTTCTGTGATGGACTTTTATGCTGGGCAGTGGAGGTGAGGACTGACAGATGAGGACCTCTTCTGGCTCACTTGTCCATCCAGGAATGACAGCTTCCTAATGTCTCCACAGCACTTCTTTTTCTAAAGCATCCTGGATTACCTGAGTGAGTGTGGACATCTCTAATCCGAATGTCATGTGATTACAGGATCCGGTCAGAACCAAGAGCAGCCATCCAGTAGTTCTGAGGAGACATCTGGGACAGAGGAGGAGAAAGAGGAAGAGCCCAGCTTCATCATGGGGCGATGACAGTGTGGCCACAGTGGCTTTCTGGAGCCCAGGGCCTCAGAAAATCCTCCACATGACCCAAGGAGAAAGGCGACTGTTTGAACTGTCTCTCTCCCAAGGCCTCGCTGGATAGAAGCAAATAGAAGCCATCCTGACTGCTTGTGGCCCTGCCAATAGGGACAGAGAGGACTGTCTCCTGGACACTCAAGGGCATTGCCAAGCGGAGTTCATTCATGTTCCCGCTGAAGGGGGGAAACGTTTAACTTGCCCCTGCTGTCTGTTCTCTCATATATCGATGAGTTTTGGGCTGGTATCTGTGAAAGGAATGTTTATTTATTAAAGAACAGAAAAACTTGAGGTTTTGATTGGACCTGTGAAGTGCAGAAGTGTAGGGAAGGCTGTGAAAATTAGGTGATGGGGATGAGGCCTGTTACACGGGCCTGTTCCCAGACTCATTGAGTGAAATGGCCTTGGTTCTGGAGCTGACTTGCACTGCAGGGCACCTGACCTCCATTTCCTTCAGCTGAGGGTGCAGACTGCACCTCAGAACATGTGCCCCTGCCCAGCTGCTCCCAGTACACAGGTGTGTTTTGGGAAGCCTTGGGCATATGCAAAGGGAGATGTGGTGTGCAACCAGGGAAAATGATGGGAGACTAATAAAGAAGCAGGTGGAGAATCCAGGCTGGGCTGAATCAGAGTGGAGGACATGGGGAATCCTAGCCAGACTAGAAGGGGGAGGAGGTGGGAATCCATGGGCCAAAGCTGTGTTTTCATCCTGAGGTCAAGGGGGTTCTAATCAGAAATTTGAGGTTGCCTTTCAGGCAACAGGAAGGACAGAGATGGTTTCTAATTAGAGCCTTTGCTCACTTTTTGGATTATCTCCATCTCTAGATTTCTAAGAATATCTCACTGCTTTTATGGAATTTGATAGAATTAAGGATCATGGTTTTGAGTGAATGTTTTCTTTCACTTTTATAGTATTGATTTCCCTGGCCCTGCCCTGGGCCAGGTGACATTTGTGATCATTTCTGCCCTTTCAGCAGTTCAAATCACAGGAATTTTTTTGTAAACTTCCCTATTTTATTGTAATACATCAAAGTCTGGTTAATATTAAGTGATTCACAGGAATATTTCTTTTCCTGGAAGCTGAAATGGAAAGTCAACCCTAATAAATTCACACACACACTCTGGCCTTACATTTTGAAATCCATGTTTCTCTTTTCAGGGACTGGCTGGTTGGTTTTCCTTATTTCCCCGCAGCCTGTGTGTCACAGCTCTTGCTTTAAGTCCAGCCTGGATCTCGTGGGTGTTGTCTTTCACTGGAGACTGTGGAGTGTGGAGTTGGAAGACTTGGGTTCGAGCCCTGACCCTGCCTCTGATGAGACTGGGAACTCTGGGCAAGTCACTTCCTACTCCCGCTGGTGCACCTGGCTGAGAGCTCAGTGATGTGTGTGTTGGACAGGTGGCTGGAAGGCTAAACAAATAGGATACCAGGCAGGTGTTTATGTTTCACACCTTAACTAGATTTCAGAAGGTGATGTTTAGGTAGGATGTTTCTGACAGTTTTTTAAGGGGTCATTTATACCTTAGGTTGAATGACTCAGTTTCTCTTCTTCAGGGTATTGCTTATTTGGGAAAGAGGAACAATTAGATGCCATCAGTGAGAAAGAAGGGGGCGATACTGAGAGGATACCCCCCCCCCAAAAAAGGTCATGATTGGGGAGAATCATTAAGTAATGCCCTATGATTAGCTTGTGGATAGGAAGAAATTAACAAAGGTATACATAACTTGGCTGTCCCATGTGTAAGAATTTTGATTTATCAAACATTAGACCTTCGTTCACTCACCAAATACTGAGCACTCAGTGGCAGCCCTGAGCTAGGAGGCCCAGTTATTTGTATTAGAATACTGTTTGCCCTTTTATTAGAAGTCCCATATAGATTTACCAAACAAGATTTATAAACAGGTCTGGAAACCAGCCCAGGTCACCCAGCAAATTGGTGGAGCTGGCCTTTGGACCCATGTAGCGTGATCCAGAATCCTTCACCCTAGCCCCATCCCACAGCACTGTGCTGCCCTAGGGAAGAAGCTGTGCCGAGCCCAGACCTGGTGGGGAGGGGCTCCCGGGGCTGCTCTTGGTGCCAGGGCTGTAGGCTATAGGGCCCTCCTTTAATAAGCCCCTGGTGCGTTTGTGTGCATAGTAATACAGGATATCACTATGTCATAGTTTTAAATATAATTGATTCTCATTTTTTCACAAGTTCTATGTTTATGAACTCACCAAAATTTATTTGTAATCCCAAAATTAATACTCATGTTTTTGTGGTCATTTGCAGACATTCACAGAATGGCAAAAAAATTTTTTTTAATATATTTTTTACTGATTTTTTACAGAGAGGAAGCGAGAGGGACAGAGAGTCAGAAACATCGATGAGAGAGAAACATCGATCAGCTGCCTCCTGCACACCCCCTACTGGGGATGTGCCCGCAACCACGGTACATGCCCTTGACCGGAATCGAACCTGGGAACTCTCATTCCGCAGGCCGACGCTCTATCCACTAAGCCAAACTGGTTAGGGCAGAATGGCAAAATTTTGAGTTGCCTGATGCACACGTTCCCAACTGAGGTTAAACAAGGTAGTGAGTGCTCTGCCTTCTTGTTTCAGCGCAGACTTACTTAATAACAGGTTCTTTACATTTATTGCTTATTGTTGGTGGTTTCTGTTTAAAATGTCCCCCAAATGTAATGGTGAAGTGCAGTCTAGTGTTCTTGTTTTATTTTTTGTCACTCCTCACCTGAGGATATTTTTCCATTGATTTTTAGAGAGAGTGGAAGGGAGTGAGGAGAGATAGAGAAACATTGATGTGAGAGAGACACAGCAGTTGGTTGCCTCTAGCATGTGCCCCAACCAGGGCCTGGGATCAAGCCTGCAACTATAGTACATGCCCTTGACCAGAATCAAATCTGGGATGCTTCAGTCTGCGGGCAGATGCTCTATCCACTGAGCCAAACTGGCTAGTGTTCTTAAGCACAAGAAGGCTGCAATGAGCCTTAGATATCCTTCATTCAGGCATGAGTTATAGCACTGTTGGCTATGAGTTCAATGTTAATGAATCAATAATACATATTGACAAAGGTGTCATTAAACAAAAACATACATAAAATAAGGTTATGTGTTGATCAGCTGATGTGATCAGGGGCTCACAGAAATCCAACCCTCTACTTCCTGATCAACAATAGAAGGGACTGGCTGGGCGTGGTTCAGTGGTTGAGCATAGACCAATGAACCAGGAGGTCACGGTTTGATTCCTGGTCTGGGCACGTGCCTGGATTGCAGGCTTGATCCCTAGTGGGGGGCATGCAGGAGGCAGCTGATCAATGATTCTCTCTCACCATTGATGTTTCTATCCCTCTCCTTTCCTCTCTGAAATCAATAAAGATTAAAAAAAAAAGCTAAAATACTCTAAAAAAAAAAAAAACCAAAACAATGGAAGGGAGGGGACAGGTGGGAAGTTCTTGGAATAATGTAGACTGTAGGTAATGATGGCCTGAATTAGTACAGAGGCCATGGGGGCAGAGGGAAATGGTAGAAATTCCAGAGACATTTAGGTGGGAGAATTCACAGCACTTGGTGGTAGGAGAGGAGTCAGGAATGACACTGGATCTATAGCGTCACTAGCTGGGTGGATGGTCACACAGCCCCGGAAATAGGTGATCCAGGAAGCAGAGCAAGTATGTAAGGGAAAGGAGGAATTCAGCTCTGGGCATGGTGAAGTTTGGGATACCCCCTGCCAGGCTGGAAAAAGATCAGGGTTAGAGGTGATGATTTAGGCTCCTGAAACAAGGGGAGTGGGAGAGACCAGTCAGGAAGAATAGAGAGGGAGACCCAGACAACCCTGAGAAACACCCGCATCTAGGGGACAGACAGAAGAGGACCATCCTGCACAGGGGGAAAGTCAGGTGGGGTCACTGGAGCAAAAGAGGAAAGTGTTTCCAGATGGGGGGAGGTGCGCGGGGGGGGTAATCAATGACAGACAAGGCAATGGCTGAAACACCTTCTGGATGTAGCAATACAATGTCAGTGAACTGCAGAAGGCTGAGGAGGAAGTGAAGGAAGTGATGACAGCTCTCTTATCAAGTTTGGCATCAAGTGGGAAAAGATGGTGGCAGGAAGGGGTCAAGCTGAAGAGGAAGGAGACTGAGAGAGAGAAAGTGGGTCCCATCAGAACAAGGAAGAGAGGCAGTGGTTTGAGAACTAAGTGAGAAAGAGTCAGAAAGCGGGATATTTGAATGTGAGATTTCACAGAGGGTGATGACAAGGAATAGGCCGTAAGAGTGAATGGCTAAGGGGACTGGATACACTGTTTACACCCGCTGTGTGGCCTTTCCGGTTTGATAAGATCTGGGGTGGAGAGGAAAGTAGAGACCTCAGTCTTCACTGAACGATGGGCGTCTGCTGAAGAGGAAAACTAGCATATGGTTGACCCCAGAGGTGTGCCTCAGAGAGCTGGCCTTTGGGGTAACTTAGGCCTTGGGGGAGGAAGCAACTTGCCAAGGTCAACCAACTAGGAAAATAGCCAAACATCTGCTGGGGAGCTGGTACTTGTGGACGTTTAACTGAACCTCCTAACCCCTCCATGTAACTCCCATTCAACTACCTGGGCACCTGAGGGGCCCTCCAACGATTAGTACTGTGATCATTCAATCTCCTTTCAGCCCAGCCGGTGTGGCTCAGTGGTTGAGTGTAACCTATGAACCAGGAGGTCATGGTCCAATTCCTGGTCAGGGCACATGCCCAAGTGGCCGACTCGATCCCCAGTGTGGGGGTGTGCAGGAGGCGACTGATTGATGATTCTCTCTCATCATTAGTGTTTCTATGTCTCCCTCTCTGAAATCAATATCTATATCTATATCTATATCTATATCTATATCTATATATATATATATATATATATATATCTCCATCCTTTCAATCTGGTGCCTTCATCTTTCTCAGTCTTTGAGGGGGGGGGGGAAGGAAAGGTCATTTTCTGTGTTTGGTAGGAAGCTAACTCTGAAAAGCACTGGTAATTATTTTGTTTTTGTCCAATCATGCTGGATTAATGTGCTTGGGGTGGAGGCATCGCTGACTAGCATAGGAATTTTTGCAAAGGTTGTGCATTCTGGCTTCAAGGCTGAGAACTCAACAAGCAAATGACTGTTGCTGAAAGAATTCTCATCTATGACCCAACTACTGTAGTTTAGTGTTTTTCTTCCTGTTTTTTTTTTTCCAGGTCATTTTATGAAAAGCTTTGAGGTTTGAAAGCCACAGTATGGTTGCATTTGGGGGATTTTGCCCCTTTCCTGTAGCCATGGAGGCAGGGCAGTAATCAGTCCCCAGGATTTTCCTATAACCTTTGTTAGGGCAATAACCAGAGGGGGAACTGGCTTAATTTGTTTTGTACGTGTCCTCCTGGACCAGAAGATACTATTTTTTTGGATAAGTGTGTCACGGTTCAGTGCTGTGTGACAGATGGAAAAATCCTATGTAGGGCATGGAGGAAGGACTGAGGGGCCGTCTGGCAGGCAGACTGATATGAACCCATCTCGCCGGGTGGTTCCATTCATGTGCCCTTCCTGAAAAGAACGGCCCTGTTGGAATATCTAGATTGTAAAATCGGAGAGTTCGCCATTGCGGATGAGAGGTTTCCCCTCCACCAGCGGATGGAAGGGCCTGGGTCTACGCGGAGACATTTTCACCCCAGGTGCCTTACTTCTGAGAACCCTAGAGGACCCCCCCGCGCGCGTCCCCCCCAGGGTTGGAATCCCGAGCGTCCGGCAGCCGGGCTAGGCCCTCGCGGTTTTCCCTGGGCCTGGGGGCCAGGGGGGGGGGGGTGCGGGGAGGAGTGCGCTCTGGGTGACCACCTGACAGCTCCAGCCCGCGTATGCCACCGCCCACCCAGGCAAACTCGCGCGTGGCTGTCTGGGCCCTTCCCAGTCTGCCCTTCCACCGTTTCCCCCACGTTCTTCCCCTCACTCCTGCCCGCCCTAGTCACATAACGGGATCCCTGATCCCTCTCTCTCTTTGCAGGGTGCGCCCTTTTGGCCTCTCCCCATCCTCCTTATGGCCAACAGATCGGTCCTGGGCATCCTCCGGGACTGACCCCTGAAAACCCATGTGGTCCTATTCTGCGCTTTAGACCCACACACCGTGG